GAAGGCAGACGCTTAACGACGGAGCCACCCAGGCGCCCCTAAACTTACTTTTAATATAAAAATGTATATTAGAATAATAAACAACTAGCTCACAAAACCCATGATTTTGCAGGTACGATTGGCAAGGATGAGGATATGTAAAATAGAGTCAACTTAAAGTTGATTAAAAGAAACAGTACAGGGGCACCTGGGTGGCTCACTTGGTTAAGCAGCCAGCTCTTGATTTCAGCTCGTGTCATGATCTCCGGGTCCTAGGGTTGAGCCCCGTGTCGGGCGCCATGCTCAGCAGGGAGTCTGCAGGAGGATTCCCTCTCTCCCGCTACTCTGCCCCTTCCGCTCACTTTCTCTCTCTGTCTCTCTAAAATAAATAAATAAATCTTAAAAAAAAAAAAAAAAAAAAAGGAAAGAAACCACCTCACAGTAAAGTGATGCAAAAATGTACCAAACTCAAAGGCCGTGTGGTAGCTGCAAGTGGTCTGGGAAGCTTCTGGCGCTACCCTTGTCTCTGTCCCCCTCTGCCTAGCTCATACAGTATCTCGGCTGACTCCCCACACCTTCTACTGCTTTCTCTCAGCTCGATATTCCTATCGGCATTTAAATGTACCCACGTTTTTCTAATCTTTAAACAAACAAAGAGATGTTCCCACACATCCCTTTTAAGCTACAGCTCGCTCTCTCTCCATGGACAGCCCCGGAGTTGAAACAGCCAGCTACACCTGCTGGCTCGCTGCAGCCCCACACCTCCTGCTCACTCCTCAACACACTGCAATCCAGCTTCCCTGCCCACCACTGCGAGGACACAACCCACCTGATGATAAACCCCTGACTGCTTCACTCATTAGTCACTCTATCTTTCAGGAGCACTCAACCGGGCTCACTGACCTTCCACCAAATCATCTGACGTTTGCCAGGTCATTATGGTTTTCCTCCTTCTTTCGTACGTTTCGTTTTTTTAAAAAAGTCTTCTCTATGGGTACCTTTTCCCTAAACAAGATGAATGGTGGTGGTGTTCTTCACGGTCGTGTCCCAGACTCACTACTCTTCTTACTCTACACGCTCTTTCTGGGTCATCTCATCCACTCTCCCAGCTTCAGAAATCATCATATGTCCATGATCCCCCAGTCTCTCCAGTGAGTTCCTGACCTGTTTATTCAGCCAACTTGAATATTCTGTAAGAACATCTAGTATCACATATCCAAAATGCAGCTCATCAGCTTCTCCCTATGTTTCTATTGTAAAGGTAAATAAGAGCATCCATCTAGTTGCCAAAGCCAGAGACCATATTCCTTGACTTTGATCTTAAACACACTCACCCAATCAATCTCTGTGCCTACCTCTCCAATATTATATATTGCTTCTCTACATCTTACTATACATCCATAAAGGCCACTGTCACCTCTAGCCTAATCAACTACAAAACCCTTACAACTGGTCCCATCCCCACTGTCACCTTTACAACACATTTTTTTTTAAAGATTTTATTTATTTATTTGACAGAGAGAGAGACAGCGAGAGAGGGAACACAAGCAGCAGGAGTGG